AAATTCGTAAGGATCGCTATGTTATATATTTTCTCTAAACTTGGAGAAACCTAATCCAAACCAACTTAATTAGTTTAACCCTAACGAGACAAAGAGAAGGGAGAGAGAAATCTCAACTGACGGTTTCACGTGTGTGTATCGTTTGCATCGATTAAGACGCGGCTCGCGATACAACGATATCGCGTAGCGATATTACGTAACATTCCTAAAAGGTACGCGCGGTCGTAAACCCTAACTACCATCGTGATCTCTTACGCTAATTGCTAACATTGCCGGAACAACAATAGTAATGCGATTATGTATGGCATGCGCGCGCGCGTACATACGCGGGTTAATTGTATGAGGATACAAGTTATAACCCCCGGTGTACATCGGTTACGAGCAATTCGTTTCTATAGCGCTTTGCGGTTTCCTCATCAACAAGCAAAGTGCATACATAATTAGGCGAAATGCTTGTGTAATCAATGAAACTGCTCGCTGGTGTAATTGACGCGATTGAGATATATTTGCATATTTTGCACGAGATTGAACACATTAATTATGATCGGTACATATTCCCTCTGCTCTGTGCGCGCATCCATTCGCGTTCGAGATCATTGTCTTGATATTATACTTACATTATCGTGGTCGTGTGATATATCACGTACAGGTTTTAAATGCGTTATACGTCTCATCAATACTTCTCGAATAATACCAACGTTACATCTATAAATCTTTTTTTTTTTTTTTTAAGAATTTCGATTGTCTCTGTAAACATTTGTAATTATCTTATTACTTCGACCGCTGGCGTCGCATCTATGTATAGATGAAACAACGTCGGCTATTTTTGTCAGTCTTTTTCGACAAAGGTATTAATGACATCTATTGAGACCTGTATGGAAATTTCTGTGTGTGTCAAACTCGGCAAATGTTTTCTCAGTAAATATTAATCGGTGACTCTACAAGAGCGAGAGGTCGAAGAAATAAATTAAAACGGTTTAGTAATTTTCCCTGAGAGAGAAAGAGAGAGAGAGAGAGAGAAATCAGACAAAGTAATGAAAGTTTATTACCTATGAGTACAAGATTAACGAGAAGCGATTAAAAACCAACCACGGATTTGAGATTAAAACTCGAGTATAAAAATTCCGACGTTTTATATCGCAAAAAAAAAAAAAAATGATAAAGGCTATTGTGCTTTTTAATTCCGTCGAGATTCGCTCGAGTGTGTGCGGAAAACCGCGAGAAATCATCGCCCGAGAAGATGAATTCAATTTCCAATCTCAAGAGCAACCGGAGAACTTTTTTAAACTGTCTGTATTAATCGATTGAGAAATCGCTTCGTAGAAAAACCGCGCGGTTTAATTTCATTAAATACCTAATAAGCGCACGGCAAGCTTCCAATCAAGCGGAGAACGTGATTTTTTCGTTTTTTACATATCATTTGAAAAAGTTCTCGCGAAAAAAAAAAAAAAGAATTCTCTCCCGCGATCAAAAGTTCTCTCTCTTTCTCTCTTCGACAGTAACGAGAACGAAACAGCTTATAGCGCACCACCCACTGTCGAAGGTATTGCGGATGAATCTACTTTATAACAGTAGTTATTAAGAGCCGTTGCCAACAATTTCACGCACCATTGTGTCGGCAAACAGTTGGAGAAAATCGTCGGAGCCGGCGTCGTAAATCCCCTCCCCGGAAATCGACTACGAGAAATAATACATTATATTTTATCGAGCTTGATATTATCTTTTTCTACGTTTTACATTTGTACATGTTGTATCCCCGCACACATACACACAGACGCTCGCGCGGACACGCCTACCGTTGGAAAATGGGCCGGTGTCTTGCGACATTAACTTGCGACGCTCGTAGACTTAACATTGTTAGAACAAAGAGACTTCGTTAAAAAGTCCGCCGCGTTAAATGTCCGTTTAAACCTCCGCGATGACACTTCTCCAATTGCACTCGAGAAAGTGGCCCCCGTTGCGCAAGAAGCCGCTCTTCACCGAGAAACCAACGTGGTGTTGGTTAGTGGTTCACGGCAACGCGAAGCTGGGCAACCTCAAAAAGATAGCCGTATCGATTCAACCACTTGCGGTCTCACATGCGGCTGCTCTATCCGCCCTCTTCGTTTCGCTGTTACCGTTTACTTGCACGGATTAGAACAACCGGCGCGAGACAGTGAAAAGTTCGAAAATGAAACGCGTTTACTTCGAAAGTAAGTTGCTAAAACGGACCCAAGCCAAAAAGAAGATTACAGAAGATAATAAATGAAAAAGACATTATTCGAGCGGGTCGGATGTCACGGATTTGCGGTAAGTTCCGCACGAACATATTGACGAATAACAAATCAATCGCGCGTGAGGATGTCGAGGAGTTCGCGAATTGCGGCGCAAATCAAATGACCGCGACCCAACTTTGATCTTGTTTCGAGGGCAAGCCGCGAATTTCAAAATTGGAATTCTCGGTCAGAGAACACGTACGTAGGTACGGTTGCCGGCTGGCGGTGGTTAACGCAGTAATACCCAGCAGGTTATGGATTTATTCGATCGGCTTATGTGTACGCACGTACATACATCTCGTACTGTCGGGGCCGCTATAATCGAGGAAAGAGCACGCGAAATTGCTATCTCTCTTTCTCTCTCTCTCTCTCTCTCTCTGTCTCTCTTTCTCTTGTCTCACCTATCATGCCGCCCTGGCCCGTATGAATAATCATTCCGTTATGCGGAAAATACCAAGTCTCGTATCTCGCGTCTGTCAACGTCGTTCCTTCTCCTCGTCTCTCGCGCGCGCGCTACTTCTCGTCTCTCGTCGTATAATATTTCTTTACCCGCGTTATATCCTTTCCCCATGTATGTACGTACATACGTATATCCGCCATTTGTCACGAAATATTATGCATCTCGCGATTACACGTACTCGATCAGCATAAGGAACGCCGATAGGTACTCGAGTTTGGATATTACTCGTGTTTTATCGCTTCGCGCGGTCCACCGAGTTCGGGAGTTAACTCCGATCACGCGCCCCGCGAGCTCTTCTGAACGGGAGAGTTAGAAAATCGCTCGGCTGACTCCCGGGATCTAATGTGCGATTTACTGGCGGACCATGCGGAACCATAGATTATAGTTAATATCCCAGAATCGAGAACTTCGATGATAAAGTAATACCTATGTGACGAGCGTTTCTCGGTTCTCTCTTTGGTTCTTCGTTGTGGAGGAGGGAAGAGGAAAAAAACTCGATCGGAGCTTGTAATCGAATATGATTCTTTTGTTTTTTTTTGTTTTGCATTTTTCAACAACCTCGACGAATGTAACATTTACCGTGAGAGCAATGATGATCTAACAATGTGCGTAATTTTTACGTCAATGTGTGATTAAATATTTCTCTCTCTTTTAAAACATAACGATATATATTCTCCAAATTTCGCATCCAGAGTCTGACTGAAATCTCGTTGTTTCTCGCACCCGGATATGTGTGTTATATTAACCGAGTTGCGAAGAATGTGCCTATCATTTTAATGTGTTAAACATTCACCCGCGGCAGCGAGAAGCTCGCGAAGTGCGTTCTCGCGTACATATATATGAAATTGTATTAGAGAAAGGAATTTCGGGATATTATAACGATGTTAATGTTTCTCGCGATTCACATTTATGCCGCAATTAATGGAATTACACAGAAGTTTCGTCTCGGCTCTCTGAAACTCGATCGGGCGCGCGCCGCATGTGCGAGCGATCGTTATCCTTTCTTGCGGAGAAGGAGGGGGGATGAATTTTAAACCGTCCGTCATATTGTCGCGCGTGAATTAATCGGCTAAGCGCGAATATACACACAACGTCTATACGTATTAATCCGTTGCAAATAATATTCGGCTATTTCCTTTCGGAGACACCGGCGGCAGTGGTGTTGCCGCCAATAATCGCTTTAATTACGCGACATATTCGATTATGCGATTCACACTGTAACCCATTATATCACATAGTATCCATTACATTCGCTGTAACGATTCTAAATTTCGTATGATTATGCAGCGCGAATTAATTACGCATTCATAGAGGATTCGCGCGACGAATAGCGACGAAATTACCGAACGATCGGCTTCGATGTGGCTATATAACAGATTACAACGTCGCATTATACATCTCCACTCTAATCGTTCCCTTTCCATTCTCTAAACGTTGATATCGATTGCCGATTACTTCTGACCAACTTGTACGAGGAGGAACACGAACGAAAATCGACGAGCGTGTTCATATACGCCCGAGGTAGATGTGAAGAGCAATGCGAAGTGCATATAAACATAATGTACTCGTCGCCGTTTACACGCGGTGAGTAGTATTGGTAGTAGAGTCGCGCGTAACACGGAAATACGGCGGGTATCGACGTATCGCACACAGATTTTGCCGATCGGGAACGATTCCCGCGAGTTTCTGATCAAAACGCGCGACATTCGCGTTTCCCGTGTATTGAAACGAGCCAATCAAGCTGATGAGGCGAGCACATGTGCACACTCGCTCGCGTGCCGTGTGTACAGGATACAGACCGTCAATTTTCTTTCGAGGAAGGTACACATAATCGACAAGACAAATCAATATTGCGAAACAAAAGGGAATAATAAACAAACTGAAATAGACAAACGAACTGTCGTTACACCTTTTTCCGGCTGATTGATCTCCGATCAGTCTCCCTTTGTACAGTTGAATTGTGCAACAATTCAACACGTTCGGAAATGCTTCGCTTGTCGCGAATTTCGCATTAATAATCAAAGTAAATAACTTTTAGAAGCAAATAAACTCTAAGCAAAACTTTTCCGCTAGATTAATGCTTACTTTGAATTTTTACCTCTCTTACTAGGTTTTTCTTTGCTTTTTTGATCTTTTTGTAAAGATATTTAAATATGTAACGCATATTATTAAAACATTTAATTAATAACGTTTTTACGTTTTGTAATATTACTCGTGCACGAGGGGGTGGGGCTTATTAATTAATTACACAGGTTTGTAATTTCACATTAATTCATTATACTTACCATAATGTGTGTCGAATTCGCAGCGGCAGAAGTTAATCTGTAAAAATAATAAATCGAATGAACTGATCTCTTTAAAATTATATTTCATTAAACGTATGTAAAATTAATATTTACCGACATCTGTAGTAAATGGCGCGTGCGACGCGCGTACAATACAATAATTAAAACACAAATTTATATATCGACGTCACAAAATACGAGCATTTAATAATACAATTAATAACATATTAATGTGCCACTAATAGTAATTATATTAGATGTTAATCACACAAAAGCTTGTTTGTACAAAATTGGGATTACTATGACACATTAAATCATTGAATATATCATAATGTATAATTAAGCAAGTTGGTTTTTGAAAGAATAGAATATAAATTTAGTGGTCGCAAGACCGCCGCAATTACTCCATTTTGTTTCAAACGCATTCGCACGTACATACACAAGCACCGTATGTACACGCGTATGTACAAAATGCTAATTGAGTGGAAAAAAATCGCAACTAATTACGATCACGTGCACCACTAATTACAATCGCGCTAATTACGGTACGTGGCGCGACAATCACCGCAGCATTCTAATACTTCTACGCGCACGCCCACACTCATTCGCGCGCGATAGTATAATACGCGCCATTTATCTCGAATGTACATACGAGCGAACAAAAAAAGTCAAACGCAATGATCCCGTCTCTACGTTCGCGTTGCTTTGGCAAACGCGTTTTCGTTACGTCTCGCGCGCGTAACGTTACGAGACGTGTTTAAAAACTGCGCGTGAATTGCACGAATTTTAAACCGCGCCGCTTCGGAACGAAGCGATAATTCGAGAATCGATACACGCAACTTTTGACAGTATTCGAAATGCATTAACATATAGATATAAAAACTGCGGAACAAACAGCGCGAATCGAAAGCTTTGTTTACTTTCCATACATCCGAACATTATTTTAATAAACATGTAACTCAAAATAGCACCGTTCATTAAACACAAAATTGTAATGGTATCTATATCAAAACACTCACACACGCGCATACACACACACACCGATTAATTCGTGGGAAGAGCAAACACACGATCGCGCGCGAGCTAATTTTCCGCTACGCACTATTTAACGCAATGCGATAGCCGGCCGTTGCTCGATTCGGCACTTTCGACACTTGTTCACACACGAATTTCGGTTTGAATTGGATAAAACAAAGCGAATAGAGAACGCGGTCGCGCTCGTTCTCGCTCCTCCGAAATGACGTTGCGCGGCACGCCGCGAAACTATGGCGGCGACTCAACTACGTTAGTCAAATGAAAACTTCACCGACAACGTGGCGCCGGCCAATGGCGATGATGGCAATGTGAGCGTTTATTGTGGTAATAAAACAATAATGCGGTTGCGCGCATTATATGTAACACGAAACATAACGTAACATATATATATATATATATATAACGATAGCGATAATCTTTGCCGCGTTAGTGTTTTAATGCCATTAATACATCAATCGCGCGTCCTCGCGCGGAAATTCTCAATACTCAATTAGGCGCGTGATGCATCTCACACCCGAGTGCGGTGAATGATCGATCGCGTTCGTCTATGAATAATTAATCATACTTTATGCAATCGCTCATCTTTTTTAATCATTATATATTGCGCGCATATTCGCTCGGCCGGGAGAGAAAGAAAGGTAGTGCACGTAATAATCCGACGTTATATTCCGTTAGCGCAAACATCACTTGCATTTGGAACTAATTCTCGTAGGTTAATTGTTTTTTGTTTTTTTTTTTGTTTTTTTTTATTTTTTGTTTTTTTTTAAAGACACAAAGCGCTAAGATTATGAGAGAGGGAGAGATTGTTTATCGAGGCGCTTCGTATGTTTGAATGAAACATTCGCGCTTTTCGCGCGCGGAATAATTTTATCGTCGTTGGAAACACAAATCGTTTGTACGAAATATTCATATTTTCGCGCGCTTTTTGAAGTAATTTAAATGGCAAAGCGAGGGAAAAAGAACAGACTCTTTCTCTCGAGAACGATCAAAGTTCGGGATTTCGTTTCGGTGAACACGAGAAGGAGCCTCGATCGAGACAAAGTTTGATGCGCGAAGAGAAAGCCAGAGCCCTTCGCGTTGTTCTCTCTCGAGTTAGAACAACAAATTCTTCTTGTTTCCTGACGTCTCGTCTCCGCGGACGGTTATAGAAGCGAGAGTACCTGTTATCGTTACGCGGAAAAATTGACTAGGGATATGCTGTGTTTTCCCATCTTTTTGCATTGTGAATGACGATACCCGCGCGCAATATTCTCAGTGCAGAAATATTTTCTTATCATAAGCAGACCTTCTAAGAAAGATTTTTCGCAAACATATTCCACTTTTTCAGAAATATTTTCGCATCGCGAATTTTTATCATTTTCTTTTTACACGCTATTCCGACTCATTGCGCGCGTATCGCGCGCTTTCTACCTTGTCTTTCACAAGAGCAATTCGGTATCGCTGGAGAAGCACTTAAGATAGTTACCTGCTTATCAAATTTACTTCATATTGTCTGCTTGATTACACATGGTATTCATTAGTTGCGCTTAATTTAAAGAAAAAATTGTACATTGAAGATTTCTTTGATTTAATTTTAAATTCAATTTTATAGTAATTTAGAATAATGAAAGTTTTGCACACGCGCGTTTGAATTTACATTGACAGTAAAGTTTTAAAAGCAAAACTATTACGAGAGTTTGTGCGTCATTTCTAAAAATAGAATTGTAAAACCATAGCAGATCATAAAAATAAAGCCGAGCAAATCTTTACGGAACGTATGTTTTTTCTTTTTTCTATTTTTACGTAAATCCCTAACATTTCACGCACCCTCGAGTCAATTTTTTTTTCTCGCATTCTCGTGTACAACGTGAGCGAAGAAAAAATTTGGCGTTCCGTTCACGTTCGCTTTTCATTAACTCATAAAGTCTAATAACACTCGCTTAGAAAATCGCATGTGGCTATCGCGTGCTGGGTAAAAAAAAAAAAATACTGTCAGGCTAGCCCTGTCCACCAGCCGACGTGTAATGGATTAACCTATTTTTATGTAATATGTCACGACGTGTCGCACGCATGTCACATTTGCATATCGTATATGTCGTCGTGAGTTCCCCATAGATGCCGAACTATAATCAATCAAATCGCGATGGTCCCCAGAGGTTTTTCCACGAACGGATATGGATGGTTTGATTTAAAAACGAATTACATATTGAAACATGACGCGCACGCAATTTGTGTATTTTTTCTCACACCTCTCGCGATTTCGCAGTAGCACTGACAACTTGAACTTTGGTAATACGTTGCATTTTTTAAAAACAAAAAAAAATTAGAAACTTTTTTAAGAAATATTGTAACAATACATTTGTTATTGAATGTTTATTAAATTATTGAAATACACAATTTTCTTATGTGATATTTAATAGAAAGAAAGAAATGAAATAAAAAATAACGATTGGAAAGAATCGTTCAATATGAAGAACCGTTACTCAATTTTATCGCAATTGATTTCGCGCGGAATAGTGTCACTGCAGCTTCGTTGCAGATCCGTTCCGTATTTTTAACGATAGAATTTTAACTGACTCTATATTATTTTCGTCAAGGCAGAAAGAAATAGGCTTTGCTAATTAACAGAATTTAATAGCATTCTCTTTTGTTCCCTCGCATTACGTGCTGCACGTAGAACGGAAAATGCAATCGCGCGATTAATTAATTTAAAAGCTCTTCACTCTTCGATTCTTTATTTTACGGCTCGCGCATTCAGCAGAGACGTCCAAATTTCTATACGATTATAATGGAAATTACTTTGTTACTAGTTTCCGCGAGCCTCTTTTAACATTATTAAACGGATTTCGTTTAAATTGTGCATTATTAACTGCACAAGGTTTATGTTTTTTCTTTTTTTTTTTTGTTGAAACGTTTTTGAAGTGACATTCGTACTTCTGTTCCTTGTCTTTTTTTCGCGACATTTCTAGCGGCGATAAATAACAAAACAAAAACCATTTAAAAAAGTTTCAATTAAATAACTCGCTAACTTGCTCTTTTCTACGTCAAATGTTGAATAATTGCTGCGTGTGTAAACCATAGTTACAACAAACTAAAAAATAGCTTGCTTTACTATATAAAGTTACTATGTTACCTCAGGTTTGTTATAAAACGTACCTCGTTTTTTTATATCGTTTCACGTCGTACTTTTTTATTGCGTTTGTTAGTTTTTTTAACTGTTTTCAACAATTGTACAGCGCACGACGTCTCTCTATCACTACTAGCTCTCTCTCTCTCTCTTATATTTTATATTTCGATAATAATACAGAAATTTATCACACACTTGCGCAAAAGTGCACAACCGCAGACGGAAAATGGTGACCGGCCGCGCACCGCGCGCGCGAGAGAGCACATGGCATCTCGCGGGAACTGTATATTTTCCGGTACACGTGCGGCGAAGCGGTACTTCATACGGCCGCGGCTTCATACACTTCCTATTGTTCTGCTCATCCCCGCGTAATCTGTTTCTCGAAAGACCAGCAGTAATGTCGGTACGTAATACCACTCTTTTGTATGCGCCGCCGCGCGGCTGCCACTGTCGCGTCGCGCGTGAGATATTTTCCGGAATTTCCGAGCGCGAAAACGCGCGCGCGAGAATTCACGCTCCGATATCACACAGGGAAAGCAGTGAGCTATATTATACACGCAATAATTCGCATTCCGACCTCGGAACAACGTGTGTCCAGTTGGTTTTCATTATTCGCGCCGCGAAATAATGTATTCGCGATTATATATCGCTTTTGTCGTAAAATCTCAAAGGGAAAGTAATCTTGCGAAAAATTTACATAATTTAGAATCGATATCGCGGCACAGATAACTTATTACGAAAAAAAAGTGTAATTGTTTATTTTTTACATCTCTCCCCTACTACCACGTTTCCAGCTAACGTGCATTTTAAATCTTCTTTCGCAATTTTGAGGAATGTAATAAATGCGGCAAAAAACTACATCTCGCTCTCCGCAGGGTAATCTACGTCTCCTGTCC